AAAGGTGCAGCTTTAAATGGATTCAAGAAAATTGAGTGGAGAGGATTTACAGAAAATAGGAGACAGACAACTTCAAATAATCTCATTATAAAGGGAAGCAGAGAAAAGGAAGTGTTGTTAAAATAGAAGAAAGAGTCAAATAAGAATTTTCCTAAACAAAGGAGAAATAAAGTATGTTGTACATAGATGGAAATGATCCAACTGAGAGCAGACACTGATAATCTGGTGAGGAGTAGGGGGATAGATAACTAGGCAAAAAGGGATTAATCTGATAGCCATACATCATAATCCCATGAAAGTAATAGCAGTAGTGAACTGAATGTGTTCTAATTTATAATGTAATTTTTAATCCTTGTACTTTTTTAATCTTTATAAAGTCATGTTTTTTAATGTAGGTGTCACCCTATTTAATTATAGAAAAGTAAGGAGTAACTCAGAGGCATTTGGTAACTTGGCCAAGGTATTAAGTATTTCTTACTAAGTAGCAAAATCAGAAAACAAACCTAACTCTTCACAGACTAAATTATTTTTCAAGTTTAGTTTAGACCAGACATGTTGACAAAAGCTTCCCTTATCTATTAATTAATTGTAATGCCTTTTCTTAAATATAAAAACTATACTTTCAAATCTTTACAAAGATGTAACGTTATATATTTAATTGCAATCCATTATTTTTAAAATAAAGCTACCACTAACAATGTAAAAGGTAAAAATAATTTAGTTCATGAATTTTTTTCTAATTATGAAAAGGTCAAATGTTCTCCAGAAAAAAACTGGGAAATACAGAAAATCAAAAAGAAGAAAGTTTCCCCATAATACTACCAACCCCTTAGCTGACATCATGGTTTATTTCCTTCAAGGGTGACCTCTACTGAGGTCTATTGAGAAAATATATATTCTTTGATAAGACAATTGTGTCACCAAAGATAATAAACTGTGGTTCCTGCTACCAAAGGAATACATGAAACGATCAGAGTGATACATCTCTCACATCTGCAGCACAGAGATTTTGTTTTTCACATTACTTACCTGGTTAGTTTCTTCATCCTCAAATATAAAATCTTGCTGCATAACTTCATTGTCTAAATTAGTGCTAGCCACAGGTTCTGAACAGTCTCTGTTACTCTTACTGGCATTAATATCAGCAGCAAAATCAACCCTAGTAATGAAGATGAGAAAATCAAATCAGACAAATAGTGACAAATATCAGTAATGATCTGAAACCTTTACTTAGCAAGGAAAATGACTGTAACAACAACAACAACAAAAAAGAAACCCATGCTTTGTCTTGCTAAGTTAGATTTTTAAGTTTGCTGAGGTTTTCCCCCCTCTTTCTATTTGGGATATTGTGAAGGATCTTGTCTACATCCTCTTTGAAAATTTCCAAAAGCTAATGAGTGGCTTTATATGTGCTAAAACGATTTCCTTTTCAAATGTACAATCTCAACCATGACGACCTGTTTACTCTGACTAAAATACAAGCATAGTGTTAGGCACCCTAGTGTACAATTCTTTATCAAATACAGCGTAGTTTCCTAGTAAGGATTTTTAAGAAATTGTTTAGAACACACGTTAACTTGCAAAGATGATGGCAACCCTATTGGTAGAACACGAG